TTGAGGGCAGCACTGTCTTAAAACAAACAAACAAACAGGAAGGGAAGAGAACGAAAACCTTGCAAAGTAGATGTCTCTCTTTAGGAAACCCAGAGGGATGGCCATCTGGGTAGTGGGGAGTCTCAGCCTTTATCAGCTCTGAGCCGCGTGTGATTTCTGCTTTGTGAACCCTAAATCTCTTGAATACACAATTTTCTTGGAGTGCAGTCCATGGACAGTTCAGCTCATAAGGTTGCCTGACTTGTTCAGGAGAGTGTGTTTATGAATTGGCAGATGCTGCCACCCTTTTGGCCTGGGGAATACCTGCTGATTGGGTCCATGGGGAGGATGCTGTCTGGAAAACTCTTGGGAGAAATAATGACCTTGGATGCAGAAGTCTTGACTGTGTTACTCATTAGTCACAGAGACGTGAAAAACGACATGTTCTTAGGGCAACAAAACCCACCTGGTGGAGACACGAGTCCCTCACTGTATGTCCTTAGGAGGGGCAGAAATTTCTGGAGAGAAATGAGTGAATATTGAACTACATGAAAAGCAGGTAAAAGTCTTGGTGAGGGCATGGGTAAGAAATGACACACTGTGATTGACCTAAAGTCCTGTGGTGACAGACGCTATGTAATTGATAGTGGTGGGGGAGGGTGTGTGTGCTCACACATGTGTTCATATACATGTGTGTGGGATGTGTGTGTACACAGAGAGGCTTGAGGTCAACCATGGTGTCATTCTTCAGGATGACTAACTTGGGTTCTTTTCTCAATAAATGTTCTAATAATTTTTCCTATGATTGTTTTATTGTTTGAGAATTTCATACCTGTATACAATGTATTTGGTCATATCCACCCCCCGATCCCCCCTCCAGCATATCCCCCTTCCAATTCCATGTCATCATCTTTTTATTTTTATAGCCCACTGAGTCCAGTTCGTGCATCTTATACGTGCATAGATATGGGGGCATCTGTGGGAGTGTGGGCAACCAATGGCCACATGCATAAAGAAAGATGACTCTTCCTTCCCCAGCAGCAAGCAAGGAGTCTCAGCCAGCTGAGTCTCAGTGGGACCTGACTAGGCCACCAAGCCCTAGAGATCTGCCTATCTCTATCCCTCCTGCACAAAGTCACATCTGGTTTTTCCATGGGAGGTGGGGAATCGAACTCAGGTCCTCATACTCATGCAGCAAGCACTTTAGCCATGTGTTTTCCCAGCTCCATAGCAATAGGCTTTACTAATTAAATGGGACATGACCAATTCTCTTATACATATGCGTACTGGGTTAATTAGCCCTTGTTACTTAAAATGCATATCAACATTTCATGACTTAAATGACAGTGTTTTATTATTACTTTTTAATCATGTGGCTCGACTCAGGTCTTGCCTAGGCTGAGGGTCATGCTGCGGCCAGCCAGCAGTGGGGCCAGGATGTGAAAGTAGAAAGGCCTCTCGTCTTGTGCCCTCTTGTCTGTTTCAGAGTGGAACCCTAAGGAGCGGGCATCCTCAGTATGGGTTCCCATTTTCTGAGTCGCATGGACAATCTGGAGTAGGTTGACGGTTGGGGTGATCATCCAGGGTATGGATAGAGCTGAGAACGAGTTGGAGTCATCACTGAGATGGCCGTAATTGCAGCCAGCATGTTTACGTGAGATACTTGTAGACCAATATCTCAAGAACATAGACAGCCTGAGAGTGGGTTCTTATAAAAATCCTGAGTCTGGCTCCCCCTAGTGTCTTTCTTTCTATGTCATTATTTAATATCTCTCTCTCACGGATGCTCCCAATGTGAGTCTGCTTTGTTGTTATGTAGCCAAGAAACCCCCATTGGCATTAACAGACGCTAATCGCATGGTCTTGGGCCTCTAAAGCTGAGAACGAGTCACACCTTCCCTTCTTGCAATGTACCTCTCGTCAGCTATGCTGTTATAGCAATGCAGACTAGACTAAGACTAAGGCAGCATATGCATGTAGTGTTTCCTCATATCCGCATTACAAAGGAGTTTAAAAACACTCAAAAATATTCTCAATTCTGCATTTTTTGTTTTGTTTTGTTTTTTTGAGGCAGGGTTTCTCTACAGTTTTGGAGCCTGTCCTGGAACTAGCTCTTGTAGACCAGGTTGGCCTTGAACTCATGGAGATCCTCCTGCCTCTGCCTCCTGAGAGAGCTGGGACTAAAGGCATGTGCCACCACTGTCTGGCTCAAGTCTGCATTTTTTAAAATCCAGCATCTTCTGGCTTTGGAGTTAGAGGCGACTGTGAGCCCACTGTGTGGGTGCTGGGAACCAAATCCTCTGCAAGAACAGTCTCTCTGCCCTGCCCTTTCTGAGAAGCTGGGTAATGTGAAAAGGAGAGTTTCTGTATAACCACCAGCTAAAAGCTCCGTGCATACTGTCTGTCCTCCTCTCTCTAGTGGCTTCCTAGGTCTGCAGACCTGTTTGGAAGCTTTCTTCTACTTGCAACCTGATTTTAGTGTCACGTGATCAGTGGTAGAATTTCACACTGCCCTCCACTTTTCAGCTTCTCCCCCCCCCCCCCCCGAAAGTGCTGTTTTAGTATTTAAAGCAAATGTCAGGTCAATCTCTTGAAAATAAAAAGGACCATCTGTCACACAGCATATTTTTTCCTAAAGGATGCAAGGCTGCCATCCTCCATGTCTCCCACTCCACTTTAATCTTTATAGCTAAGATCTCAGAGTTCATCCATTTTTCTTTTCTCTTCCAGCATCATTTTCCCATCATCCACTTAGTGAGAAGCAGCAGACAATGTAACCTTTCCTCTGGCCATCTTCGGACAAATAGATCTGCATTTGCATAACTGTCTATCACCTATAGGTATCACCTATGGATGTAGGGTGCGAGGAGAAAGAGGAAATGAACTCTGCTCCCTTATTGTCACCTTAAAACCCTCAGGAAGCAAGATTAGCCAAAACTCCATGGCCATAAATTCACATGTAAATATTCTGGGCCTATCCTCAGCCAGAGATGTGAGAAAGCACCTCCCATAAGAAGAAAAATGCTGGAGGAAGCTTCTTCCCTATGACTAAACTTTCGCAGTGCTGGAAGGGGCTAGGCAGGCTGGAAGGGGAAAGAGATCAGAGGTATTGCCCAGCACCGGACCTTGCTGGGTTCAACACCAGCCTGCCAGGCAACAGGCACCTACTGGTGGGCAATAGTGGTGCAGCTGCAGCTGATGGGGTTTGAGGCTTACTCCAAAAAGGGGGATCCCATGCTTGGTACTGTAATTCTGGTCAAAAGCCATGACTGGGTGTTGTGTTTGGTTTTTTACTCTTATGCTCTCTTGGCTTTTTGCTCTTTGTTCTTTTTTTCTTTGGGGGTGCTGCCACCCAGCTTCCAAATAAACCATTCATGTGGGGCTTAGTCTTACTTATAAGGCCTTAGCTTGGCTTGTTTCTTGCCAGCTTTTCTTAAATTTTCCCGGAAAACCTTTTGCCTCTGGACTTTTTCCTTTTCTTACTTCTGTGTATCTTATTTTCACTTTTACTCTGTGGCTGGCTGGCTGGGTGGCTGGGTGACCAGGTAGCTGGGTGGCTGACCCCTGCCATCCTCCTCCCCTTCTTTTCTCATTGCTCCTCCTCTTCCTTCTTTCTCCTTCTATCTATACTCTCTGCCTGCCAGCCCCACCTATCCTTGCTCCTGCCTCTCTATTGTTTGCTCAGCTCTTTATTAGACCGTTGGGTATTTTAGAGAGGCCAAGAATCACAGCTTCACAGAGTTAAACATCTGCAGCATAAACAAAAGCAACACATCTTCACATCATGAAACAAATGGTTCACAGTATAAACAAATGTAACACACCTCAAAATCATATTCCCCAACAGCTGGGCAGGTTAAAAAAAAAAAGTTGTCGAGTAGAACCTGCTACTATTGTTTTGTTAAATGATTATACTGTCAAATTGTCTTCTGAACATTTATGTATAGACCTGTGTTGTGCTCAGCCTTGGTCAGAGAATCTTCCCTTTGCAGGAAGTGGGCAGAAGTCAATGCAGAGATTCGTAACTGGTCAAAGAACTGAGAGACCGGGTCTTCGTCCCTATTGGGACGTCTATACTAACCTCAACACCATCAAGGCACAGAGAACATAGTGGAAGAGGAAGCAGAGGGGACTAAGAGCCAAACAACAGGGACAAGTGCTATGAATGTCTTCTGCTATTTCAAGTATGAACTCGTGACAGCTGTGGTTATCTACGCAAGACCTCTGTAAGATCAAGCTGACCGGATTCCTGGAGTAAATGATCTCGCAGCCTCAGCCCTGGCTGAGGAGCTGCTTGAAGTGCAGAGAGTTTCTGGCAGAGGGAGAGTCATTCTTTTTCTGGGGCATGTTCACTGGTAGGTTCCCCATGTTGCAGTGGATGGCCTTATCATGACAATCAGGGTTCCATCTTCTAGTTGGTAAACTTAAGTCAATTGGGCACAAAGGCTTGGGCTTTTCTGTAAAGACAGCCTCACTGGCACCTTGTCTGCGTTATTTTTCCTTAAGGAACTTTCAAGACTCCAGGTGGGCAATGAGAAGTGTTCCTTTGGGCATTAAGGTTCTGCCAGACAACTGAGCCACTGGGACAGGAACCTGCTGTGACGCCATCTGCACGGGATGCTTGAGATGACTCACTTTGACTGAGGTGGCACTGGGATTAATTATTCGGTATTTTGGTTCCTGCCATGATCAACACCTTCTTGAAACCACATTTATTATTCTGAGTAGAACTTCAGATTACAGACATAAACATCTGGGCGAATTTGGGCAACTGCAATGTTCACAATAAGCTGAGATGACCTGGGTTTTGCTTGTTTGTTTAGAAAGAAGCAGCAGCAGCTAGGATTTCCTAGGTGTCCCTGCCTGTGCCACACTCTGCTCACACCTGCTCTTTCTCTTCCCTTAGACCAGGATGTGCCACGTGACTTTTTCCAAGCTCACTTTGCCTGGCAGAAGCTCAAATATTGAAGACAGCAGGAGCCAGACCATCCTGCAGAACCAGTTTTACCAGGATCGCCATCAGCCAATGCACCTCCATGCTGAAAACGATGCAGTAAAAAAAGAAAAGTAAAAGAAACTTCCTCGTTGCTTGGTTGGTAGGTGGAGTTCCTCTTTCCCTCCAAGGGCCCATGTGCAGGTAGGCTTTAAGGAACTCTGAAGCAAAAGCCTAACCTGGAGATTTTGTTTGTTTTTGTTTATTTTTCCTCCCAGCGCTTCGCTCTAAAAGCATGAGCTTTCTCTGCCAGCGGATGCGTTTCTATGGCTTTCCCCATTCTTCCATTGTTTTAGTAATCATGAAGTCCGCTGTGGTCTCATACTAAAATGCCCACATCTGTTTAGGTACCAGCAGGACTTTCTTTTAATTAACTCGCCTTGCTTCCCAACCCCCTCTCCCCTCCCCGCCTGGTGTATGTGATCCTTTGGAATTCAAAGGAGGAGGGAAGACGAGGGGAGGGTCTCAAAAAAAAAAAAAAAAGAGAGAGGGAGGGAGGGAGAGAGAGAGGGAGAGAGGAAGAAAGGAAGAAAAAAGTTCTGTGGACCAAGTAGACAAATGCTGATTCCTTGTAGTTGTGTGCCCTCTAGTGGATATCTGGAAGCACGTCCACTGGGCACAAACCCAGGCCATTCCGTAGATGGTCTGCGGCTCTTTTCCTCTTTTGGGAGGTTTTTCTTTTTGCAGACCAGGTGAAGGCCAGTGTCCTTCCGCTGGGCACTCCTCTGGCATATAGGGACCAGGACTAATGTAAACCTCCACTGCCCCGTCGCTGGCTCCCCCTGAAGCTCCTCCCCCCTTGACATTCCATGCCTTCAGTGAAGCTCATCACAGCCCTTTAGATCTTTTTTTTTTTTTAATTTTTTTATTTATTTTCGAACAGGGTTTCTCCGTAGCTTTTGGTTCCTGTCCTGGAACTAGCTCTTGTAGACCAGGCTGGCCTCGAACTCACAGAGATCCGCCTGCCTCTGCCTCCCGAGTGCTGGGATTAAAGGCGTACGCCACCACCGCCTGGCCCTTTAGATCTTTTTATAAAACATGAATGGGTGGGACTTTTGCATGCAGGCCTTCCACTAATGCGTGATTTCATCGTCTCCCTCTCTCTTCCATTCCATGTCCTTTTTCCGTATCTAGTCTGAAGTAGGCAAGTGGTATACAGGTGTTTTTTTGTTTGTTTGTTTGTTTTTTTTTTTTTTTGTTATTTTGTTTTCCTATTTCCACCGAGGAGAACTCCATAAAAGTCCTAACATCTTCAGGTACATCTCACTGCCAGCCTGTATAGTAAAGCCCATCTCTTCTCTTTTGCACGTGAGGAAAGTGATGAGTAGCAGGCTCTGGGGTAGCGAGTGGGTTTGAAAATCACTCAACCAATTTTACAGAAATCACCAACAGCCTGATGGGCACATGGAGGTACTTATACCTCTCTGATGGTCCATTTGGGACCATTGGTCCAAGCTCTCCTTATGTTTCAATGAACCTGGGGGTTTGGAGTCAGAGCCTCTTACAAGAGGTAGAACTAAGACTCGGAAAAGTTAAACAGCGTAATTAGTCTTTTTCTGTCTCGCCAGACAGTTCACAAATAATGACACGGAGACTTATTATTAGTTATAACAGCTTGGCCTTTAGGTTAGGCTTCTTTTCAACTAGCTCCTATAATTTAAAATAATCCATGTTTTTATTCATCTACATTTTACCACGTGGCTTTAACCTCTCTCCCATTCTGTATGTCCAACTCAATCTGTCTGGCTGACGTCTCTCCTGTACCTAGATTCATTTCGAGTTTCCTCTCTCTGCCCGGAAGTTCTGCCCATCTCTCCTGCTTAGCTATTGACTATTTAGTAGTTATTAAACTAATCAGAAAGCGCCTTAGGAAGAGACACATCTTTACAGTGTAAACAAATATTCTGGAATATTTCCCCCTTTTGTCTATTTAAAAAGTAAAGGTTTTCAACTCTGACACAGTAAAACTATATACAATAAAAACAACTATCAAGTAAGGGTAAACTGTACAATGTCTAGTCCATTAGTATTGGAAAATTCAAAGAAAATATTCAATTATCTGTCCTATCTTGGTGAGTCCCAAGTTTTATACCTGATTTACTTTCTATCAAAACTATGGAAAACTATAACTATCTAATCTTCAACCCCATCAGAGACCTGAGAAGGATATAATATTACCTGAGTAAACAGGAAGCGTAGAGCAAGCAACTTCCAAAACTAAGAAATGACAGAGACAGCTGGCTGCCTGAACAGGCACCCCAAGGTTTCACTGCAATGTTGGGACATCCATCCTCAGACTGTGGTCTAGAATATCTGATACACTTTTCTGTGAAGCAGGAATTTTGAAGGACTGTCCTACCATGTCTTGGCAAAGTTCAGTTTTTTGTGTCCTGCTTGTCCAGTTTGGACAGCATACTGTCAGGAGTCAAGGCAAGGGCAGTTTATTGCTCAGTGGCTAACTTTGCCAGAAATAAAAGCTAACTCCACCTGGAGGTTCTTCTATGCCCATCATCTTTTTCAAAAGTTAATTAGTACTGCCAGGAGCAGGTGTGTCTCACAGTCCTGGAAAGCCTTATGTTATTAAAGCATCTCAAATGCCATATTCTGTAGATCTCTGACATGTTGAAGATCACCTATCTAAAATATATCTCTTTGACCTTGAAAACATACCTAACATGACTCTAAGTTTGATTATAGATGAGTAACTACTACCTGTATTTCTTAATTATGCTTTAAATTTTTAAATGACCTGCAAAAGTACAATACCTTAAACAAGAGTAGAAACATACGTATAGTATAACAAAAATGACCTTAAATTTGTATCACTATATAAAAATCCATACCAATGTAAAATGTTTGAGATGAATAGTTGCCTTTTAGTTTAGATTCAATAATCTACCCTTTTATCCTATCATTCCCATATCTCCCTTTTTTCTTTTCAAAAATAGATCCCTGAATCTAATCTCAGCTTTTTTGTTGTTGTTGTTCAGCTTTTTCCCTGATCATGACCAATAACAACTTGTACCCACCTCCCCTAAGCTATGGTGAACATCCATAACTCACTGAATGACCAAAAACTATATACCCCACCTCTTGGGAATGTGGGCATTATTTTCTTTGGACTGCTTCCTATTGTCTGGGGAAGATGGCTTCTTTGGAGGACCCTGAGAAAATTGGGTTAATTGTTGAGTCCTGGGAGAGTTAGCTACATTATTTTTTGTTTAGTCTCTCTGTGACGGGAAAGGGTAGGGCTTATCTGAAGTCTTGGCTGGAGCGTCTGTGAGACTGGACAATCTCAGGAGCTTTGAAGTTGTTCTGGATGAAGAATTAAGAGGAAATAATAACGGGTATTTTGAGAGGCTGGACCACCCAGGATACTGATGTCTGGTCCTGTTTTTTTTTTTTCTGAAAATACACAAACTTTTAAAGGTAACATACATATCTGCTCCAACACAAGTATAAAACGTGCAATGTGCATAAGTCAGCTAAAGATGATTTTCTATTTTATGTTTGAGCAGGTAAAATTCATCTGTCAACTTAAGTCCATTTCAACTGCATAACCGAGCCTCCATCCATGCCCTATGAAAAAAGGCATGTAATAAATCATGAGGACTCTGTAGCCAACAAGATTTATCATGGCTCATCCAGTCTCAGAGCTGTTCCCATGTAGAGGGATCAACTTATATGCCACCTATCCTGTAGTCTTCCTTTGTTTCTTTCTTCATGTATGTGGACATGTGTGTAGATTTTTAGGAGGTCGACCCCAATCAAATCGGATCTTCATTAATTTTTGAAGAGAACCACAAATTTTTGTTTTCTGTGGAAACAAAGGCATAACCTCTGCCCCCAATACACCCTATTTTCTGACTTCCAATTTGAAGCTAGTACATTCTTAAAATATATAGGTCAGTATAATTTAGCAGTTTTCCTAATCTGGTGTCTCTCAGCAGCTACTGTCTTTTTTTTTTTTGTACATTAGCATTTAAAAAATTCAAAGTCAATAGAGCACCGTACAGGATCAGACACCCTGTGTATTTTCCACCTTTCTGTGTCCTACTTCTTTTATAGTACTTCTCTCTAAAGACTTCGCTTTATTATTTTTAAACTAGTTATTTATTTTTCTATGACTATCTATACCCATTTTCTTTCCTTTCTTCAGCATGTAAGCACTTTTTTTTTTGCACACTTTAGACAATTTGGAGGTTTTCTTAGCCTGGACCTGATTTTATGCACGTCTGCAACGTTCTCTGACCTTGCAAGCCAAACCCTAAACTGTCAGACCAGCTGCCCCCCCCCCCCCCCCCCCCGCCAGCTTAACACGTGACCCCTGTGGTTGGCTCCGCCCACTTCAAGTCCTCAGGCAGCGGGAAGAGCAGCACCTAAAGGTCCCAGCTCTGATTGGTGTTGTGGCATATGCTCAAACCTAGTGCAGAGTAGCAAGTGGCTGGCCGGCTACTCTAGTGCTTTGCACAGTCGGGCCTCTTAAAGGAGCCGTGACTTTGACTCTGAATGTGTAAGTTACCAGGTCTTATGTGGATATACATGGCTGGATGTTGGGTGCAATTTGTAGTCAGGCTTTCCTTTGGGCAGGCAATTCACCAATAATGACATGGAGACTTATTAATTATGAAGCTTGGCCCTTAGCTAAGGCTTGTCCCCTTAGCTCTTGTCACCTAAATTAACCTGCTTCTATTAATCTACATTTTACCATGTGGCTTTTTACCTTTCTTTTCTTCTGTATGTCTGACTCCCTCCGTGTCTCCTTGGCCTCTCTCAGACATCTAGATTCATCTTTAGTTTCCTCTCTTTGCCTGGAAGTCCCACCTATCTATCCTGCTTAGCTATTGGCCATGTAGCTCTTTATTAAACCAATCCAAAGGTGCCTCAGGCAGAGACGCATCTTTTACACTGTAAACAAATCCTCTTCAACAAAGGAGCTCACGCAGGATTATTCGACCAAGACATAGTGAACTTGGTTTATTGCCTTCTCGTTATTCCACAGATGCCATCATTTCTCAAAGGCTTGGAGGGAGGAGGGAGGGAGGAAGGAAGAGGGAGGGAGGAGGGAGGCAGGGGAGGAAGGAAGAGGGAGGGAGGAAGGAAGAGGGAGGGAGGAGGGAGGCAGGGAGAGGAAGGAAGAGGGAGGGAGGAAGGAAGAGGAAGGGAGGAGGGAGGCAGGGAGGAAGGATAGTTCTCATTTCAGAATTTGCTGGAAAGGGAAACCCTGCTTTAACTCAGCTTCACAAACACACCAGGCCTAATCCCTCACATGGTCCAAATTGAGCTTGACCTTTTCTGCTATAAAAACCAAGGCCACCTGGCGTCCAGGTGAATGCTTGCTGGTCTCCGGAGTTCCGAACAAAGGCTCAGGAGACCCCGTGGTTTCCAGAGTCCTTTTTCCCTTTTTGTGTAGACTAGCGGGGCCCATGAGAAAGGTGAAATCAACTCCATTGTCAACTCTCGTCTAAAATGAAGAGACACAGGGGCATTGTGAGACTCAGGGGTGCTGCTTCTCTTTTCTTCTCGTGACTCTCCTGTGTGTGATGTTGGTGCTTAGCATTTGTTTTCAGTTGATACATGTAGTGGTTTCCTAGGCCAACACTAACTAGGTGACTTAAAACAACATATAACTGTTCCCTCACAGTCTTGGAGGGGGGGAGAGCTTCTCAGTGCACAGCAAATTACAGAACTAGCAAATGGCCCCGTCCAGTCTTCAAGGTCAGAGTGCACAGCGCCCTGCGTAGCTGTGCGTTTGATTTCCAAGCCGCAGCCCTTCTTCTAGCTCACAATACCCTTGTACTTCTCAGTTTAGATGAGTGTTCATAATACAACTGGCCTCCACCTTTTTCACAGAAGGAGAAAGGACTCTGGGAACCATGGGGTATCATGAGACTTTGTTCAGAACTCCAGAGACTGAAAAGTACTCACCTAGAGTCCATGTGGCCTTATTTTATTTTATTTATTTATTTATTTATTTATTTATTTATTTATTTATTTTTTTGGTTTTTCGAGACAGGGTTTCTCTGTGGTTTTGGAGCCTGTCCTGGAACTAGCTCTTGTAGACCAGGCTGGCCTGGCCTCGAACTCACAGCGATCCGCCTGCCTCTGCCTCCCGAGTGCTGGGATTAAAGGCGTGCGCCACCACCGCCCGGCTCTTATTTTATTTTTTAATAACATAAAAGTTTCAGCTCAAAGGCTCCGCAGATCTTTGCTCTGATGGACACTGGTGAGTCATGTGGGGTACACAGTACCCCTTCTCATCTAGGAGCCAGGCCAGGGGAACCCGGCAGTCACGATCCATGGAAATTCTAGTGCAGGTAGCTTGTGGCATGGTGAATTTTCCCCAACAACAGTGGATTAGGTTTATTATCTAAAATTAAAACTGGTTAATGCATTATATGTGTGTGCATATAAATATTTACAAATGGTATTTTATATAATTTTATTTAAAGAAAATTGACATTTGTTTTATATAGGTATATATTTGGGTATTAGTTATAGATAATATGTACCAGTTATACATAATACTTAATACAGAAGTAAAGTTTTGATTAAAGACTAGACTCACATGCAAAAATATAAAAATTTTCAAAAAGTATTTTTTACCAGTTGTATTATGATTCTCCCATGGGAACTCCTTCCCACCCCTGCAGGAACCCTGGGCAGGTTGTGTTTTCCACCAACCTGCTTCTAGCACCATTTCTGGCATAGAGATCATGTTAATAAATATATCTTAGACTATTTGTTACATGGTCAAAGATAAAGTTGACTTTCTTTTTTGAATAAACAATGCCAACCTTGCCAAGTCTTAGAGTCTTGAGTGGTAGTCGGAGTCCAGGTTTAAACAAGACAGTCTGAATGACAACAGCATACTCTCTGAGAACTTAGAGATGCGTTGGGTCATTTCCCAGCAAGAGTTGAGAGGCAGAGCTAGCAGGCAGGTCGCTTCTTAAAACTCAAATTCAGGGTTCACTGAAGCAAGCGCCGAATAGTATTTGAAAGGTGACGAGAACTTCCTGGATTCAACGGAAGCTTCTAAGACATTTAGTAATAGAACAATGAAAATAAGGTCAATTTCTGCCAGGCTCTTCACTGTGCCATTCATTTTACCAGCAGGAAGACAAAAACACTTAACCTTGCATCTGTATTTCAGTAGAAGGCAGCAGAGGCAAATAATGCGGACAACCAAGACTAACGTGCAGTGTGGCGTAGTTGTGAGTGCCGAGCTAACGCGGTGCTCAGTGCCCTCTGTAGAACTCGCCTTCTGACCCCTTGTTCTGTCTTAATTGCTCAGCTTCCTCCCAGTGCTGTTTTCTGCAGGGTGGCCCTCAGACCTATGTCCGCACCCACTCATCCCTCTCCTTGCTGCTTTTTCAATCAGTTCTCTTGTGTCCCACAGAAGACAACGACTTCCTTATCCTTTAAATCCCGTGATTGGTTGCCCGTCTTTGGAACACAGTATGGCACTACCATCTCCCTCCTGGTTCATCAAGGAGCAGTCTCAGTGACCATCCCGTGCTTTTAAAGGCAGGCCTCTTTCCACGCCAGCACCTAAGCACTTGCCTTTTGTTCCACCAGGAATCGCCTCCTTAAAATGGTTGAACCCTGGCCCCTTCTTATCAGTTAGGTCTCAGGTGTTCCCTGGATGTTCTCAGGGGCTTTCCCTAATGTGTTTGCCAAAAGGAGTTGCCACCTCGTTCCAACAGTCTCCCGTTGTCCCGTAGGAACTAGTACCACGTGACGCTGCATTGTTATTTTTTCTATACCATTAGCTCGCCCCTGGAGAAGGAACACACAGTGAAGACTGAAGACGGAGAGTTTGCCTTCCTCGCTCTGCTGGTTCGTTGTTGTCTGCTTGATGTAAATTAAAGTCACCTGGGAAAAGGAGATTTTTCGTTGAGGACTTGCCCCCCCCCCCCACCAGAGTGGTCTGTAGGAAAGCTTGTGAGGTCGTGTGCGTGCGCGTGCGTGGGCGTGCACCTGTGATTAATGGCTGAAGTGAAAGAGCCCAAGCCCACTGAGGGCAGGTGCTACCTCTTCGTTGCATAAGGGCAGGGGGGTCCTGGCTTGTGCAATAAAACAGGCTGAACAAACCATGGAGACCAAGCGAGTAAGCAGTGTTCCTCTCTGCTTCAGTTTTCAGGTCCTGCCTCAAAGTTCCTGTCTTGAGTTCTTGCCTTGGCTGCCCTCTACGTTGAACTGTAACCGGTAAGCCAAACAAACCCTACCTTCTCCAAGTTGATTTGGTCAATGAGGTAGTATTGGCAGGATAGTAAGGAAAGTTTAAAAAAAAAAAAAAAAAGGCCTTCTGTGGAAACCATTTCATGTTCTGGACCAAGATGCCCTGAAGGTATTAAGGGGAGGAGGAGCTACAGCATGTTACCCCCACATTCTAAGAGAAGTGACGGTTGGGATCTTGCTTCTGTGATGCTGGAAGTGGGTCACTGGCTTGGATGTGACCATGGCAACAACAGCAGCAGAGGAGAGATGCCGGCGCTCGTGAAGGGTTGCTGAATCCCGACCTTGCTTTCTTGGTGTGCTGTCTCAGCTAACTGACCTCTGTGGATTTCAGATTCCAAGGCAGTGTAGATGGATGTTCCTTTGGGCCATCAGCTCACAAACAAACCACATGAAGGCTTATTATTAATTATAAAAGCTTGCCTATAGCATAGGCTTATTTCACAAGCTCTTAGAACTCACAATCAACCCATGTCTATTCATCTATCTGCTGCTGCCTGGCCTGTGGCTTTCACCTCTCCCGTTGCATGTCCTGCTCCCTCTGTGTCCCACTGGTGACTCTGCCTTTCTTCTTCCCCAAGACTTCTCTGTCCCCAGAAGTCCTACCTAACTCTTCCTGCCTAGCTATTGGCCATTCATCTCTGTAGTAAACCAATCCTGGGGACACACTTCCAGCCACACACTTCCAGCCAGTATAAAGGAATACTCTTCAAAAAAGCCGTGGGAAGAGAATGGAGGCCACATTTCACAGTGATCTTACAGAATCATAGCACAAGCACTCAATATGACCTTCAGCTCACAGACGTGCTCAATAAACAAGATTACTACCATTATATTGGGATCAAGTGAAGCATTTATCTAGTTATTCTTTATCAATAAAAAAATCGAGAGTCAAATATCAGGGTAAGAATCTGAAAGATCAGAGAAGGAGCAGCTACCAGTGACTTCCCCTTCTGTTCCTTCTTTCAAAAAAGCTGAGCTCCTCTCTCAGCCCCGCCTTACCAGTTCCTGTCTCCTATCTATCCGCAGTCCTCCAAACCTCTATGGTTAATCTTGATCAGGAAGTGGCTAGCTCTGCCTTCTAACTCAAAGCAGGCTTTATTTTCAGAATGAAATCAAAATATCACACTACAGTTAAGAGACACAGAAGATGCCTGACCTATAATGGATTGACTACCGTGGGACGTGTAGGAATGGAGTGGACGACCTGGGACTGCCTACTTCAGGGTCCACATTTCCCAGTCAAGCTTAAGGAATGGAAAAGGCAGGGGGTAGCTCCTCTCAGCTGGAGCTCTGCAGTATGATCCCTGCCCCATCTTTCTGGCTCCACCTGCTGAACTGAAGTGGAGCTTCTTTATTTTAAAGGCTCGGATAGTTTTGCGTGGCCTGATTTGCCTTTTAATCTGTGATTTTTATCCACTTGTGCTGGCTCGTTTAAGTCAACTTAACTCAGGCAAGAGTCATCTGAGATGAGAGAACCCCAACTGAGAAAATGCCTCCATAAGATCACTTGGTAGGCAAGCCTGTGGGGGGGGGGGGGGGCATTTTCTTGATTAGCAATTGTGTGTGTATGTGTGTGGGGGGAGGCAGTGCCATCCCTGGGCAGGTGGTCCTGAGTTCAATATGAAAGCAGGCTGAGCAAGCCATAGGAGGCAAGCCAATAAGTAGCAGCCCTCCATGGCCTCCGCATCAGATTCCTGCCTGGCTTGAGTTCCTGTTCTGACTTCCTTTAGTAATGGACTACAATGTGGAAGTGTAAGCCACATAAACCCACCTTGCTTTTGGTCATGGTATTTCATAGCAGCAACAGCAAACCTAAGACAGAAGTTGGTATCAAGATATTGCTGTGACAGACCTGACCGTATTGCTCTGGGGAGGATTGCAGGACGACTCTGGAACTTTATGGGATGTTCTGTAGGATCTCAGAAGATAAGAACGTTGAAAGCAATGAAGACAATAGAGGTCTGGCTTGTGATGTTTCAGAGGGAAGCAAAGACTCCACTGGGCCATTTCTGTCAAGAATCTGTGTGTCTGGTCAGCTGGAGCGGAACAATTGGCTGTGATTAACAAGAGACCAGAATCACTAAAATCAAACCTCCCCCCCCCCCCCCCCCCCCCCGGGACAGTGGGTGCTGGTCAGCTCGGGCTGAGGATCAGCTTTGGTTAAGAAGAGGCACACACGCCAGTTGTATTTGGAGGTGGTTAAGGTTGTACCTTGTGCTGGTAGTCAGGCTTGACCGTGAGTAAGAGTCACCCAGATGGTACTGGCGTGCAGGGGTCATGGGGAAAAGCCGAGACTTGGCACTGGGAGAGGCCAGGAGAGGCTACTGTTGTAGTGCAGCTCAGTTGCAGCAGAGACCTCAGCGTTTTGAGATGCAGAACCATGGAACTATGGCTAAGAACAGCAGCAGCCATGGAGTGGGGGTGGCCCAAGCTCAGCAGACAAACTGTGTGTACTGCAGAGGGCAGAGCTACAGACGTGGTTCAGGCCCATGGAGGATCCCAGAAGATTGTGAGTAAATCCTAGATATTGAACGCTGAATTATTTACACCGTTGGCATTTGGTTTTGCTTTGTTCAGATTGTGCCTGCACCCTGGTTCCTCCCTCTTGCAGTAAGAAAATATTTGACTTACGGTTGATTTCCTAGGAGCCCACAGTTGAGAGTCTTTGAATTTTTTAAAGAGACTTTGGGTATTTACAGAGACCGGGATTTGAAAGTTTTGGAATTGGTAAAGACCATGGGACCTTTAAGTGTGTAGTATGTTTTGTATTTGTGATATTTATTAATCTGCAATCTTAGGATGAAGTGCAAAAAGGAGAGGCTACATCTTAAAGTGGTGTACGTCAGGTTGACAAGGTGCTGATGGTACGGGCTAGTTTTGCATCCGCTTGTCACGGGCTAGAGCGAGTCATTTGAGAGGAGAAAATGCCTCCGTAAGATTGGACTGTAGACAAGCCTGTAGGGCATTTTCTTAATTAGTGATTGACGTGGGCGGTCCCAGCCTATTGAGAGTGGGGTCATGCCTGGGCTGGTGGTCCTGGTTTCTTTAAGAAAGCGGGTTGAGCAAGCCATAGGGAATAAGTCAGTAAGCAGCTCCCCTCCATGGCCTCTGCATCAGCTCCTGCCTCCAGGTTCTTGCCCTGCTTGAGTTCCTGTTCTGATTTCCCTCAGTGATGGACTGTGATGTGGAAGTGTAGGCCAAATAAACCCTGTCCTCCCCAACTTGGTTTTTTTTTTTTTTGTCATGGTGCCATAGTGACTGTAGCTAAGATGCCACCTAAACACATCTTACATCCATAGTAACTGGGTCATGATGGTGTCCCAGACGAATGCAGGAGTAAGGCATTACTCAGTGCCATCCAGTGAGTGTCTGTGGTGGTTCTCTTACTTGCTACTTGCTTCTTGCTTTGGTGAAACGGATTATCAGATATCAGACCAGAAGCAAGATGTGGTCTCTGGGCAATAGAGGATTCAGATTATGGCTCAGAGAGCCAGAGGGGTCTAGAAGCATAGCCCGAGACTCAGGGTCTGCTCAGCTTCCCTGGCTTTCTTTTGGGCTCTGTGTCCTGTCCTCCTTGTCTTCAGGAAAGTTTCTGCCAGCCTGCTCCTTCCCGTTAGTTCTATGAAGAATCCTTTGGTGGTGTTCCTCCATTTGCCACTAGGGGTCAGCACATCTCAGGGAGTAAAATACACTGGCCCTGGACACCTGTTCTTTCGTCACTAAATTAGGGTGGGAAGGGGCAAGAGATCATGAAGAAAATTGCTACCTCTTAAAACACTGCTCACACCAGGGTACCTGAGCGGCTCCGTGCCCCAAAATCCTTCCAGCATGTATGTACCAGGGAACAGCCTGCAAAAACTCCGTCATTTTGGCTACTGAAATAATTGATGCTCAAGACCATAGGCAAAAATGAGGATGGTTGTGTAACCACCTCACAGAAGGATGTATAAGGAAGCAAGCTTCCTTTCTTTATAAAGTTAGTCCTGTATTCTCAAGAGCAGAGCGTCAGTGACTTTACCCTCTGCTGGAGATGCCACAGAATGCGACCTTTCACTGCGCTTCTGCTGGCCACCTAGTAATTAGGCTTTTATTGACTGCCATTAATGGGATTTGTCTCCTAGAGTAAAAGAAGGCACATAGAAGGAATGCGTGCTGGGTTAAAGAAAGTTTTCTGCTGCCTCTGAGAACAGACTCTTTTGGAACATCCTGGGACCTTTCCTGTACTGAGATCAGCTGAGACACAGCTCATACCCGACAATGGTACCAGGACACAGAAGCGGGAGAACCGAGTAGTTCTTTTGATTTGTTCCCTACAATAAATGTCTTGGGAAGGGAAAAGGAGGTGGATGAGGAAAGGAGGGGAGGAGGGAGCACTCCAAAGGTGTCTGTCCGTTGGGGTTGGGATAATGGGATGTAGCCTCCCAGGAGAGGGGATTTCAAAGCTTCGGGCTGTAGTAATAAGAGCGGCGGGGCTGCATCCCCAGCACCCCGGCAGCCTAGCTAGCTTATGCTCCGAAATAACAACACACAAACTGTATTCATTTAAACACTGCTTGGCCCTTTAGCTCTAGCCCTTACAGGCTAATTCTCACATCCCGATCAACCCATCTCTAATAATCTGTGAGCACCGGTACCCATCTCTAATAATCTGTGAGCACCGGTCTTACCGGGAAAGGTTCAGCATGTCTAACCTGGCGGCTTGCTTCATCGCGTGCGTCTGCCTGTGAGAGCGGAGCATGGCATCTCTCTGAGGCTTCTGCTCCCGAGAGGAGAGCTGTGGAATCTGAGCTCACTTCCTCTTCCTCCCAGTGTTCTGTTCTGTTTACTCCTCCCACCTATCTTCTAACCAATGAGGGCCAAGCAGTTTCTTTTTATTTAACCAATGACCTTCCTCCATCATCGGGCCTGCATCCCACTCCCCACCCTTCACCCAACACAGAGTTTGCTCGCTGCCCTCTGTAGTGAAG